GTAATGAACCACATCAACACATTAAATAGCATTCAAAAAACTCAAATCTGATGGTGTATTTTTAAAATGTACTCAATTCCCATGCTGCATTTCACATCGCCACCACAGCACACATATAACCTCAATTTGTAAAGAGTTATTTTAGTATCATTGAAGTACTATTATAGCTTTTATTAATTTTTTTTTTTTTTTTTTTTTTACATTTTTTTTTTGTTTTAGTAATTTTTTTTTTTTTTTTTTAGATTTTTAAATTTCAATATTTTTTATTTATTAGTTATTTTAGTACATCAAGTTAAACGAGTTAAATGAAAATGAGAGATGGTGCCTTGGAAACTGGTTTAAAAAAAAGGAGTGATAGTCAATTCCCATGCTACATTTCTTCTTCTTTTTTTTTTAAAAGGGTCATATGATGCGATTTCAAGTTTTCCTTTCTCTTTGGAGTGTTACAAGCTCTTGGTGCATAAAGAAGATCTGTAAAGTTGCAAAGACTAAAGTCTCAAATCCAAAGAGATATTCGTTGAAAACAACGCGTTTGAGAGAGGCGGGGCATAGAGGACCTACAATAATGTACAGTATTTGAAAAATAATGTGTTTTTTGAACATTAAAGCATGTCAACAAATACACAAAATAATGATCTTTAAAATAGCATCATATGACCCCTTTAAATGTGTCAAGCAATGGTTCAGTTTCAGTATGACATTTCCATCTGGCATAAAACATGCTTACTACATATAAATACAAGTACAGATTGATGTAATAAGATTTTACCACCTCCATTACTGTCAATCCAACAAACGAAGCCCCTTTAAACAAATGGAGAACTATAAATGGAATTTTAAATCCCTTTGATTGTGGCCATTCTCAAGCCATAAGACAGGTCTCTTGCGTAACTGCTAACCACAAAAGTGGCAAATTGTCTGTCAACCTCTGAAGCAGCAACAGTTTCTGTGCATGCTTGTGCGGCATTAGCTTCCTGCCCCAAAGGAAACATGAAAAAAAATCTTTAGCATATTGTAATCAGTCTCGTGAGCCTGATCATAATCAACAAAAACATCCACTACCACAAAAAAGCACTCCTTTGTAACTGTCCCAGGTGTTGGTTTTAAATGGCATCATGTTTTCTATAGACCTGCAATATGTTCATTCAATTAATATTTAATCATATAATATACACACTACCTTCTCTGCATAGCAACCCTTCTGTAAATGTTATTATGTATTTATTTTATTATTCTGTGTCTCACTATTATATTACTATATCTCTTGAGAACTGGAAGCATACATTCCTTGTGTGTGAGATCATACTTTTCAATAAAGCTTTTACTTTCTAATAACTTTCTGTAGCGATGCCCAAGTCAGGAAAGTGTGGTGCTTTAATGTATCTCATGTACAACTGGCTTGACAATTCTAGCATCACCACAGCAAACATAACCACAATTTAAAGAGTGGACCACAGACTTGTGTTATTTTAGGTCCATTTATACTACCACAACTTTTTACTAATATCTGAAATCGTTTTTATTTTTATATTTTTTAGTTATTTTATGTCTATATAGTTATTTCGGTTTTAGTTTTAGGTATTTTAGTACATCAAGTTCTAAATAAAAATGAGAAATGCAAAATAAAATAAGTTAGTTAGTTTGGAGGTTTGTAAGTTAGTTATTTTTCTTCAAAAAAAAAAGGATTAAATGTGTGAGCAATATTTATTTATATATTTTTTTCTCAGTTACCTTATATATTGATATATATATATATATATATACTTTATTATTTATATATATATATATATATATATATAAAAGATCTCTGTTTTTATATATATATATATATATATATATAAACGAGAATACCTAACAATTTTCTTTCTTAAAAACACTTTGAGCGATTTGAAAATTGTATTTCAATCCTTAAAAAACAAATGCTAAAAAGAATGCCTTGGGATATATATCGATTAACCCACTTTTTGGTTACTTACTTAGTTGTACGCAATTATACAAACTTCAAAACATGCAATTAGGTAATCGGCTAAAAGATGTGATGAGACCATATAAAAATGAAATTATTCTATATGTCCATTCAGGATCCCAGAGTCCTACAGAAAGATGCGCCCTGTTCCCGCCTCCACATGGAAACACATTTCACCAAACTAAATAAACAATCGCCCTGGCCATATAAGAACTGCATAAACCAACACATACTAAATGATACCTAAATATCCAAATGAAACAAAGACCTTATTTTGATTTTTGCCACCTTTGCAGACGTAACAATAGCACACTGCACCACGTCTCGCACGTGCTCTCGGCTCACAATGAAGTGAAGCTGAACTGTAATAAAAACGTCCAGCTCATGACGTCATGTTTTTGCTAGCTCACATACCTGCGATGAAATGAAGAAGTCTGCGTCCTCAGCCTGCCAAACTTCAACCACACTGGACATCTGAGTCAGGGCTTCAAGAGGAGAGAATGACAAAAACATATAGAAAATCATGCGAGCAAACAGCAGACCAATCCCTGTCTCTAAACAACAATACAGGAAATCCGAAAATGACCCTATAGTGCTCGGCTTATCTCGCATGCGTTAACTAACGTTAATATATTTGCAGTTGTTGAACGGCGAACAGCAGATGAGTTGGCGTGGATGACAAAGGCGTGAAATTGAACGGACAAGCTATTTTAGTCCAGAGCTCACACCATGTCAACAATCCAAATACACACAAGCTGGAAACGCAATTAAATGTGCATTAATGCTGTTCTAAACTCGTGTTTTCCGCTGCGACCATCGGGTAGACGCTTAGTTCCCAAAGACTGCACTGAATAACAGCTGTAAGAAGCTATATGAGCTTTGTAGCATATTGCATTGACACAGGAAATCGAACAAAACCAGTAATTTGGCCAAAAAAGCGTAAGCCGTCTTTCTTCAGATCTGAATCAAAACGTAAATCCTAATGCAGATAGACAGACGGGTGACACCCCGCGAGAAATAGGTCAGATTTCGGGTAAATTCAATGATTATTGTGCCCTTTTAGCACAACGAGTGCACTTGAATACTTGTCAAATCAGCCCTCGGCAGTTCCTCCGACATTTTCGCACTCGCGTTGCATTCGTGGACTAAATAAATAAGATCAATCTGTCCACCGCACCTTGAAACTGAGCTCCTCCGTGTTGAATGTACGGCAATAACAGCTGTAGGAGTCGCAGAAGGACATTAATCCAAGGTTTTCTGTATGTGAAGTCCCTTTGGCTCGCCATGCTGGCTGTGCTGAGCTCCCTGGCTGCCTTCACTTCTTTCTCTTTCTCTCTCACACCCTCCCTCCTCTCTCAGCAGTACCTATGTGCGCCCACTAGAGCTAGACGCAAGCGACGCAACAATCTACAAACTGTATTGCAAGCGTTGTGTTTTGTCGCGTCGGTAGTGGTGTAGATGGGGAGAGATAATCCACTCGTACTTTTAAGGTCACACTCACAACACTGGCATATTTCTATTATAGGCTATACACAAATAAATGGAAGGAGATGAACCTCTAAAATATCCTATATTTTTCTCAATGGAAAAGTCTATGAACAAAATATTTTATTAAAATACTCGAGGCTATCTTTAAGGGCCTTGATTTTGTGCTATATTTAAATGTACTCTATTATTGATTAATAGAACTTGTTTTAAATGAACCTTCAAAATATCTAATTATACTTGGGAAAGAATCAACAAACAGAAATATATTTAAAATGTACACATGTACATTCCTCATGAAATGCACAGAAACAGTCAAACAGGTCGTTTGCTTTTTATGCACCTTGTAAAATTGTTCACTTTAAACGTACTTATTAATAAAACCTATTTTAAATACTTCAACTTATTCAGGAATTACTCATATTTTAATACTGTACATCATTACTGTGTTGCAACAGACAAAAGCATTATTTTCAACAAACTTAGAAACTAACGCTATCAAAAAATTTAATTAAAGGGACATTTTCATGTGTTTAAGCGACGTTAATTATGATGCAAATCGATAGGACATTATAGTTAAATCGGTAGTATTATTTTGCAGGACAAAATGCTTAATTACAAACAATGTGCTTGATAACTGTACATTTATTAAATCATATTACACAAAGCAATTGACCATTTTTTCATATTTACAAGATACGCAATGTGCACTGTGAAAAATGCCCACTAATGAAAAAAAGCAAGCTAAAAAAACGAAAGCATCTGAAGTGACCTGAACATCTGAAATGACTTCATAACACATTCCTACTTCATACAGAACCAAATGTGTCCTTGTCACAGAATTTTTTTCCATAAACAATTTTACCTTCTTTAAAACAAACTAACCTGTGATTAATTTCCTTGAATTGACCTTTGATGTGCAGCTCAATTTATCATCCCAGCAGTATCTGCGAGGCTTAATTTCTCTATCAACAGGTGTCCAAACAGTCAGTTTGGTTATAGGGTGCATCTCTGAGCAGCCAAGGGTTAACACAACACCTTCTCCACTTACACACCAGGAGCGTTTTTACCCTTTTTACCCTGACAAATCAATCTTAAAGTTTTCCTTGGACTAGACAAGGTTAAAATTTCAAGGGTGGGGCACTGCTGACAATGTACACCACACTCTTCACAATGTAAGTCAGTCACAGCTGTGTCTCGAACATGCAGAACTGATACAACCCTCTACATTGCGAGTAAATCACTCGCATATGCGACTAAATCTTCACTCTGGGCGTAGTATAGTATAGTATTTCAGTCTGGCGAGTAAACAAAAAAATATACTAGCCAATGGCAATTCAATTGCCAAGGTGTCCGTTGAGGGTTGTGATAACAAAACGTAAAACCAACTGATGTAAGACAATAAAGCTTATTGATTGTGCAGAGTTGAACAGATCAAACAATCATAAGATCCAAGAGGCTGTGAATTTTTGGTCAGTTAATATAGTCAAAGTCCTCTGGTATTCCGAAAGCTTTGTCCAAGCTGCTATTCTCGAAGCCGAACTTCTTCTTTGCCCAGGATTTGATTGCAAAAACATTATCTGGAAAAGAATAAATGTGAAACTTGACACATATATGATGCAAAAATCAATTCAGATGAATTATGAAAACTATTCAACTCAGAAATGACATTTGTAATTATGCAGACAGAAACATAGTTAACTATAATAATAAATAGAAGAGGCATTGCTTTTGCTTTCACTACACAGATTTTGCATCTCTTTCAAAAAGATACTATATTAATGTTGTTTACAGAAATTAAAATATGTTGAATTTAAAGATTCATTTTTTTTTTTTTTACTTTATTTCTATGGGTCACAGCTGACAGCGTACTATGGAACGGCATGACAGCATAGTATGTGCACAGGTTTGGCTCAAAATGTTGAAAATGTCTATAGGTTAACTTGTTGAAAATTGTCTTGAAGGCATTTGCAATTGCTCTCACTATTCAAAAGGCTTATAAATCTGCTAAATCACATATTGCATTAAATCTACTGATATTATCAGGTTTGTGTTTGGTGTTAGGTTTGGTTTATGGGAAAGGTACAGTAAATCATCATCTCCTTATACAAACCGTTCCATCTATGAGATCACTCAGTAATATAGTGAAACCTACATGTGTTCGCGCTTGCCTAGTGTAGAGTGTACGTTGTGTTTGACTCTTGGCTGAAATCTGATCTGTTCAATGTAAACAGACCATTAAAACCTTGCCATTTAGCATGTCTGCTGTGTTCCCAAACATGCCTGCATCAAATGTTTTCATGCACTGCTCATCTGACACCACTTTTGTAGTTACGTTTGCTGAGCGCAAAAAGGAATTTCTTCCCGAAGTTAAGTGGTGTGCATGTCTGTGTCTGCTACATTCCAAAAAAATCATGCTTGGGAATAACCAAGGGCTTGCACTGCACTGCTTGAGTCAAGAGTTATAACAACATGCAAGTTAATTTTACTCAGCCACAAACAAGACTGGAACTTGGAACTGGGCCATGGTATCACAGTCAACGAAACAGCTGCATCACACCAACATTTGTGAACAGCAAGCATTTCATTTACAGAGTGACAAGATATTTGTTTTTCACAATACTGCACAGGATATATTATTTGACTGGACAAATGTAAGCCTAGAATATTAAATAATGTACGGTGCAGATCTAAGATCAGCCTGGACTGATATTAGCCTGATCTGACCAAACTGGATTGTCAGGATTGTCTGTGGCCTACATTTCAGAATCTTTTGTGGATGCATCACATGACACAATCAAAGAAAATAATTGGTTTGGAATTTGTTGAGGTGTGAGGCATGCAAACAACTTACCTGTCCACCTCGACACGGCCTCTTTTGCTGTAATGTTGGCCTTACCTAGAAAAAGGATGAATATTTTAGCAAGGCCATACATGTCAGGTTAACATTGTGAAGTCCAGTGTTAATTTGTGCAGTTTTTTTGTTTTGATCAGTTTATCTTTTGATGAAAATATCCTTTAAATTTATTTAATATTTAATCATGTCATATTCATTCATTTCAGTCCATTTTATTTAAAATGTAATTTTATTAAAAATGTCATCTAATTTTATTTGATGAAAATAACATTAGTTTAGTGAACGTTCAACAAAATATTCAAATATTTCATATATGTAAACTGCTGTTCAACAGTTTGGGATCATTGATATTTTTAATGTTTTTTAATTGAGTCTCTTATGCTCAACAAGGCTGTATTTTTTTATCCCCAAAAAACAGAAAAAAACAGTAATATTGTGAAATATTATCACAATTTCTAATATTGGTTTCCTACAGGGCTCTGAACCGGTTCAAGGAATGAAAACGAAAACCGGAAACGAACAAAATTTTGACAGGAACAGAACCAGAAACGAAATCAAATTTTATAGTTCCGAACAGAATCGAAAATTTGAAATGGCCATTAACCGGTTAATAACGTTATTTTATCGTTCCATTTAATATTTGAAATTTGCTGTCAACCAATCACGAATTCCAGCAGTACGGCCTATGCTAATGTGACGCTGAAGCCAGATGCCCGCTCAGCTGTGAACTCATCATAGGTAAGTCGCAATGGCAGTGCCCCGGCGTTAGAGTTTATCCGAGGATAGTGTAAGATGGATTCAACAGATCACAAGCACCTGCAGCGCTTCTGTGAACGGAGAAAACAGAAAAACTATAGGCTTACATAAAAAGGAATATAGGCATATACACTAAATATATTTCATTTAAATCATTGACAGATTAAGGAAACGAAAGAAAAAAATGTGCTGAGTTACGGTTCATTGTGACG